GTTGAGGAGATCATCCAGGATTAGAAGGGTACCAGATAGGTATTCACCTTCATTACACTATCTGTTCCTAACTGATGAAGGAGAACCAGAGTCCTTTGATGAGGCCATACAGGTGGAGGATTTAGTCAAGTGGGAGCAAGCCATGGATGATGAGATGAGCTCCCTTGAGAGGAACAACACTTGGGTGTTGACCGAGTTACCCGCAGGGAAGAGAGCTTTGTTGAGTAAGTGGGTGTTCAGGATCAAGACTGAACCAGATGGGAAGAAGAGGTTCAAGGCTCGGTTAGTGGTTAAAGGTTATTCACAAAGGAAAGGTATTGATTATGCTGAAATATTTTCTCCTGTTGTGAAGTTAACCTCTATCCGAATTCTGTTGAGTATTGTTGCATCGGAGAATTTGTACTTGGAGCAGATGGATGTGAAAACAGCATTGTCAAAGGAGCAGTCACCCAAGACGGCTGAGGAGCGAGAGCACATGACACGTGTTCCATATGCTTCGGCGGTTGGGAGTTTAATGTATGCTATGGTCTGCACTAGACCTGACATAGCATATGCAGTGGGAGTTGTTAGCAGGTACATGGCTAACCCTGGGAAAGAGCATTGGGAAGCTGTGAAGTGGCTTCTGAGATATCTGAGAGTTACATCCAGCTAGGGACGTAAATGAATCGAATATTTTTTGTTCGATTCGTGATTCGTATTCGTTTAAGGTGATTCGTATTCGATTTTTTTGAATCCGAATACGAATACGAATCTGAATAAATATTCGAATCCTTATCGAATACGAATATGAATCAAGGGTATTCGATTCGTGAGTTTGACAAATATATTCAGAATATAAATCTAATTATTCAAATTATACAAATTATATATATATATATATATATATATATATATATATCAAATGGTTATAAAATATTTTAAAATCTAAATGAACTGAATAATTTTAAACGAATCGAATATATCTAAACGAATCGAATATTTAAACGAACCGAATATGTTTAATATATTAAACGAACCGAATACGAATCTTAAAAAATATTTGAACCGATTTCGAATTCGAATTCGAATATCACTCCATCTTAACGAATATGAATATTTTTCATGAATATTCGATTCGATTCGGTTCGTTTACAACCCTACATCCAGCACTTCACTTTGTTTTGGCAAAGGTGAAGTGATTCTACAGGGTTTTGTGGATGCTGACCTTGGTGGAGATGTGAACTCAAGCAAGAGTACATCTGGGTACATTTACACCATAGGTGGAACAGCAGTGAGTTAGATGTCCAAGCTTCAAAAGTGTGTTTCTCTTTCATCTACTGAAGCTGAATATGTGGCAATAGCTGAAGCTGGGAAAGAGATGATTTGGATGTCAGACTATCTAGAAGAGTTGAGAAAGAAGCAGAGCAAGAAGATCCTTTACTCAGATAGCCAAAGTGCCATCCAATTGGTGAAAAATCCAGTCTATCATTCGAAGACCAAGCATATCAGAAGACGTTACCATTTCACTCGCAGGGCAGTGGAGGCTGGTGACATGAGCTTGGAGAAAATAGAGGGTGCAAAGAACCCGGCAGACATGTTGACAAAACATGTTGATGTTGGGAAACTGGGGTTGTGCAAGACCTCAGTTGGTCTTCTGTAGTTGTTCACTACAGATGTTGCGGTGCGGTGAAGAAATTGATGATGTTGGCAATTTCTGAGATGATTGGATCAGTCTCCAAGTGGGAGAATTGTTAGGTTATGGAGCCTGATGCTTAATGATTAAGTTTGCTTAATGGTTAAGTTTACTTAATGGCTGAGTTTACTTAATGGCTAAGCTTTCTTAATGGTTAAGTTTACTTAATGACTAAGGGGCTGTTTGGCAACTTCTGAATGGGTAAGTGCTGAACCAGTAAGAGGTCTGAACCATTAAGTGCTGAACCAGTAAGAGGTCTGAACCATTAAGAGCTAGTATATTGCTTAACTATTCAGAGGCAAATGTCTGATCAATTCAGATAAGAGGTCTTAACCATTCAGACTCTGTATAATACTTAACCATTCAGAGGCAAATCTCCTAACCATTCAGACATCTGAACCATTAAGAGGCTGAAACAAACAGNACATGAGCTTGGAGAAGATAGAGGGTGCAAAGAACCCGGCAGACATGTTGACAAAACATGTTGATGTTGGGAAACTGGGGTTGTGCAAGACCTCGGTTGGTCTTCTGTAGTTGTTCACTACAGATGTTGCGGTGCGGTGAAGAAATTGATGATGTTGGCAATTTCTGAGATGATTGGATCAGTCTCCAAGTGGGAGAATTGTTAGGTTATGGAGCCTGATGCTTAATGATTAAGTTTGCTTAATGGTTAAGTTTACTTAATGGCAAAGTTTACTTAATGGCTAAGCTTTCTTAATGGTTAAGTTTACTTAATGACTAAGGGGCTGTTTGGCAACTTCTGAATGGGTAAGTGCTGAACCAGTAAGAGGTCTGAACCATTAAGTGCTGAACCAGTAAGAGGTCTGAACCATTAAGAGCTAGTATATTGCTTAACTATTCAGAGGCAAATGTCTGATCAATTCAGATAAGAGGTCTTAACCATTCAGACTCTGTATAATACTTAACCATTCAGAGGCAAATCTCCTAACCATTCAGACATCTGAACCATTAAGAGGCTGAAACAAACAGTCTGAACCATTAAGTCCTGAACCATTCAGACATCTGAACCATTAAGAGGCTGAAACAAACAGCCCCTAAGTTTTCTTAATGGTTAAGTAAGTAGAGGTTGTAATGCCTATATATATTCTCCTTTGTAGCTAATTTTTGTAGAGAGGCAAGAGACAAATTCTCTGTAATTGTATCTGCCTGAAATCATCAATAAACACATCTAGCCGCCGTGGAAGTTTACACACGGGGTGTTACCACGTTATTTCACGTGTTTCACTTTCTCTCTACTTTTACTCTCTCGTTTTTTCTTCTCCTTCTTCATCGGATTTCTGTGAGTGTTCTTGATTCGATCCTAACAGTTGGCCCCTAATGGTCACCCTTTGTTGGGCAGTTTCATCAATGTCTGCCGGTTTCTTCGTATCCCCCTCTCTCTTCGTCTCTTTGACTATATGTTTGATGTTCGGCCCGGGTCCAAGGAAACCCTTGGATTCGTGGTGGTGTGTTCCCACCAAGGCCGGGCAATCCTTTGTGGCCTTCCACCCTCTAACAAGAAGTGGAAGGACAAATATGTCTGTGTCAAATTCCCCCCGGCTGCCTTTCCTTTTGCCCAAAATGTCTGGGGGAAAAGAATGAAGCGCCAGGTCAAACCAGCAGAGGCCGATGACCTGGTTGCTTGGGAAGCCACTCTCCGGGCCGGGGACGCCTCCACCCGCGGTCTGTACCACGTCGGGAAGTGGAGCGTCTACCCCGGCCGGGAGACCGACCCCGAACCGGAGATTGTTCTGCCCGGGGCGATCCCCGAAGCCATCCCCATCCGCCAGGCGAGGGGATCCAAACCCCCGGCCACTACCAATGCCGGTCCTTCACGCCCGGCGAAGAAGAAGAAGGAGAAAGGTCAATCAATCGCCCTTCTCATTTTTCATTTGAATTAATTCGTTCTCAACTTCATTCTTCTAACCGGTTCCTTTTTTGTTTCAGTGGTGAAGTTTCAGTCCAAGTTTGCCGTCCCCCAGATTGTGGTTGAGGAGCCCTCCTCTGCTCAGCTACTCACTCCTCCATCCGGCCAGCCGTTCGTGTTGGACGATCAGCCTGCTCAGTCTCACCAAGGGACCAGCCAGCCGATCCATTCGGGGGAGATCTACTTCAATGTAGACACCCTCGAGTTTGATAACATGCTGGGAGAGCCTGGCCATACCTCTCAGGCCGGCCAATCGGGTCAGCCCAAGGAGGATGGCGAAGGCGAGGAAGAGGCTGCCGAAGAGTCCCTTCAGCGGAAAAGGCGGAAGACCGAGGAGGTCGACCAGCCATCTCACCAGAGGGGCTAGTCCTCTGATGCTGGCAAGGGCACAATAGTGCCCCGATCCAAGATTCTGATGTCCAGGTCGGACGAAGAGCTCTTCCAAGCTTTTCGTGCTGACCTGAGTGAGGTAATCCCCCCTCCTTTCTCCTTATCTTCTTTCAGCTCCTGATGCTTCTTACTGAAAAATCTTCTTGTCATTAAAGCAGGCCGGTCGGATTGGGGAGGAGTACTTCGCCCGGCTGGTGAAGTCCAAAGAAGAGGAGATGGCCCGGATGGAGGCCATGATGGTCCAGTGCCGGAAGGATGCTCAGGCCGCTCGTGCCCAGGCGGAGAAGACGGAGGCGAAGTGGCTGGAGCATTGCACGGTCTACTGCCAGCTCTACGCCAAGCATGACGGACTTCTCAAGGCTGCGAAAGAGGCCGATGAGCAGGCCCAGGCCAAGATCCAGAACCTGGAGGCCGAGAACGCCCGGTCAGCTGAAGAGATCGCTCGGCTGGGGGACGAGCTGTCAAAAGAGCAGGCGGAGCGTGCAGCCCTTGCTGCAGCCTGGGCTGGTCAGGAGCCTGAGGAATTCGCTGCTAAGGCGTTGCCTGACAGGGAGACGGCCATCCGCTTCTTCCAAGGTCTGTACAAGCACCCAGTATCGGCCGGCCTTGTGGATGAGATAGGGACCTATGGCTTCGAAAGTGGCCAGTATTCCGAGCGGAAGGCCCTCTATGGCATCCTTGCTCAGAGGATCCAAGGCTTTCAGCCGAAAGCCCTCTCTCTGCCCGAGCTGCATAGCGAGGCACCCGAACCTCCATTCCCGGGCATCTGATCCATCCGACCTTCTTCTCTCTTTTTTTTTATATTTCCTGATGTAATGATCTGCCTCCGGGCACTTTTGTAAGATATTGAAATATTAATGAAAATATTCTATATTATGTGCTGAGTACTTTATTCCATATCTCATTAATTCTTTTCAACTTAGATTCTTTAACCGTTTAGATTAGTAAATAACAGCCTGGCTGTATTTACCCGGTTTAGAATACAATTTTACCTAAGTCTTTTCGAAAGACTGGATAATCAGCCGGGAAGACTTTAAATTTTATAAATTAAACTTCTTCCCGGTTTGGTATAACCCTCGATGGCGTATTGACTTGTCCTTTTCGAAAGGTTAAGCATTTGCCCGGGTGCTTGTAAGGCCGACCTGTTTCCACAATGGCTTAACGCCCTTGTGGAAAGGTAAACCTTAAGTTCTTCTTCAGAACGATCTGGCTTAAACTGGACGGGATGCTCTCCCTTTAGTTAAGCCAAATCGTTTCTAATTCCCGTGTCAGTACGGATGAGGTGTTGGATCGGTCAGACCGGTCTCTTTTTTTTTTTTGGCGTGTCCAATCCGATTGGAAATCTAACCGGGCAGATTGGTATGTAACCAATTACCGGTTGGTGTATGAGATCAATCTTTCTGGAAAGAACAAAGTTTTATTATTGTCCGGGAACTCATTACACTTTATCTAAAAAATTTACGTAAGTGGTGAGAGTTCCAATGTCGGTCGACCCGGCCACCTTCCATAGTTTCCAACTGGTAAGTGCCCGGTCTGACGATTGCTTTTATGCGATAGGGCCCTTCCCAGTTATGTGCCAGCTTGCCCCTCTCATTAGGCTTACTAGCATCCCTTCTGCGCAAAACTTCATCATGCACTTGGAAATATCGCGGGCCTACCCGGTTGTCATGATACTGCTTTACCGACTGCTGGTAACCGGCCATCTTGACAGCTGCTGTGGTCCTTCGTTCTTCCACCAGGTTCAGCTCAGCGAGGTGGTCGACCTCATTCTGACCGGGCTGGTACACGACTTCCCTATATGTTGGAATTTCTGCCTCCACTGGTAGCCGGGCTTCACATCCATAAGTGAGCACGAAAGGAGTCTCCCCAGTTGCTCTTCTTGAAGTCACTCTATGCGCCCAGACCGTATGAGGTAAGGCTTCCAACCATTTGTGTCCTTCCTCACCCAGTCTCTTTTTCAGACCGCCCACAATTGTCCGGCTGGCGTTTTCGACCTGGCCATTCCCCTGTGGATATGCTACCAATGCCTTGCTATGCTTGACCCCGAAGCTAGCAAGGTATGCAGTGAACCGGGGGTTGCGAAACTGTGGACCGTTGTCGGTGACAATGATTTTTGGGGCACCAAACCGGGTGATAATGTTCTTCCAAACAAATTTCTCACACTGCCGTACGGTTATGGTGGCCATCGCCTCAGCCTCGATCCATTTAGTGAAGTAATCAATAGCCACCATCACGAATTTCTTTCCGCCTTGGACAACCGGGAAGGCTCCAATAATGTCAATTCCCCACCCGGCAAATGGTATGACATTAGAGGTTGGTTGGTAATAAGTGGCCGGTCTGCCGGGATGTTTGTAAAAAACCTGGCACGTTCTACATCTCTGGACATACCTTTCACAATCCCCAACAATGGTCGGCCAATAGTAGCCTAGCAGGATTATCCTTTGAGCTAAAGTGCGGGACATTTGATGGGCTGCACAAACTCCCTCATGCACCTCAGCTATTACCCGTTCAGCCTCCGGGTTGGTCAAGCAACGCAAGAGTGGTCCGCCAATGACACGTTTGTATAGATAACCATCGATTACCTGGAAACGTGTAGCCCGTAGGACTACTTTCCTGGCTCGTTCCTCGTCATCTGGCTTCTGACCGGTCTCCAGATACTCCATGAGTTCATATCTCCAGTCATCATCTGCCCCGATTATCCCGATCGCTGAAGTTTGGCCCGGTTGGATGGCCGCGACTTCAAACCGGTTTGTACTCGGCACGTCCAGTATCTCAATTTTTGCCAACTTTGACACATGCTCTGGGAAAGCTTGCGTCAATTTTGAAAGCATATCTGCATCAGCGTTTTCCGACCGGGGTATCCTAGTCAGACAAAACTCTTCTAACTCCCTTAGGAATGCTCGGACCAGGTCACTATACCGGGCCAGGCGATCTTCCTTTACTTCCATCTCACCATTGACCTGTCCGACAACCAGACTTGAATCGGAACAGATCTTCATCCTTTTTATCTCGAGAGCCCGGGCTAATCTGAGGCCACCGGCCAATGCTTCATACTCAGCCTCATTATTAGTGAGTTTGAAATTAAAAACTAAGGCATGGTAGATCTTGAACCCTTCCGGGGTAGTGAAGACTACGCTGGCCCCGCATCCCTTCGGTCCAGAGGCCCCATCAACGGCCATATCCCACCACGGTTCGACCGTATGGGAAGGTCCGGCTTCGGGCTCTAGACCGGTCAGTTCGACGAGGAAGTCTGCCAAAGCTTGACCCTTAATTGCAATCCTTGGTTTATATTCTATTTTGAACTGAGTGAGCATCATTGCCCATTTGATCAACCTTCCTGAGGAGGTTGAATTTCGAAGGACCGGTCCAAGTGGCTGATCGGTCAGTACTTCCACAGTGTGAGCTTGGAAGTATGCCGTCAATTTTTTGGCCGTTATGAAAAGTGCGTATGCCGTTTTCTCAATGGCAGTGTACCGGCTTTCAGCCCCATTTAATGCTTTGCTCACATAGTAAATAGGCCTCTGGCCATCTTCATTTCTTATCAAAATAGAGCTTACAGCGTTTTGGGAAATTCCCAGATACAAGTACAAAGTCTCACCCGGTTTGAGTTTAGACAAAACAATATCAGAGACTAAGTACTCCTTCAGCTGCTGGAAAGCTACTTCGCATTCCTGGTCCCACTCAAATGTATTGGCCTTCTTCAGAACCTTGAAGAAAGGCAGAGCCCTCTCAGCAGACCGGGAGAGAAAACGACTCAAGGTTGCCAACCGCTCGGTAAGTCGTTGTACATCCTTCAGCGAACTGGGCGACCTCATCTCAGTTATGGCCTTAATCTTCTCCGGATTAGGCTCAATACCACGCTTGGTCACCATAAACCCTAGAAACTTACCGGTCTTTACAGCAAAGACGCATTTCTTGGGATTGAGACGCAAGTTGTACTTTGCCATAATCTCGAAGCAAAGCCTCATGTCGACCGGGTGGTTCTCCGCATCCGGGCTCTTGATCAGCATGTCATCCACATAGGCCTCCATGGACTTACCGAGGAGAGGCTTAAAAAGCCGGTTTACCATCCTCTGATAGGTGGCACCCGAGTTTTTTTAGCCCAAAGGCCATCACCCGGTAGCAATAAGTGCATTCAGGTGTTAAGAATGAAGTCTTTTCCTCGTCCTCCTCGGCCATAAAGATCTGATGATAGCCTTTGAAGGCATCCATGAAGCTCAGCAACTCACACCCGGCCGTCTCATTGACCATCTGATCGGGACTGGGCAACGGGTATGAATCCATGGGGCAAGCCTTGTTCAGATCCGTGAAATCCACGCACATGCGCCAGGTATCGCCTTTTGGATCCAAGACGACGTTAGCCAGCCAGGCCGGGTACTGCACCTCCCGTATATGCCCGACCGCCAACAAATCCTTCACCTCTTTTTTCACAAAGTCCCTCCGGACGTTCGCCAAGTGCCTCTTCTTCTGTTTCACAGGCCGGCTCCCTTCCATCACAGCCAAACGATGACATATAACAGAGCGGTCAATGCCCGACATATCCGCCACACTCCAGGCAAAAATATCTGCATATTCCCGAAGAACTGAGATGATTTCATCTCGAAGTCCTCCGGGCAGATCTCTTCCAATTCGTACCATTCTTTATGGGAAAGCTTCCCGTAGAACAATCTGCTCGGTTTCATCGCCCGGTTCTAGTTTCGACCGGTCTTCCTCCTGAGAGACCAAAGTGACTCTCTCAAACGCCTTTGTCATTTTCTTTACAGCTTCCAAATAGCAATGCCGGGCCTTCTTTTGATCCCCTTTGACTTGTCCTATACCGCCCGGGGTATAGAATTTCATACAGAGATGAGCCATGGAGATGACCCCACGGACTTTGTTTATTCTAGGCCGGCCCAGAATGGCATTGTGAACACAATTGATGTTCACGACCACAAACCTCATTTGTTTTTGGACGACCTGGTCGCCCGTGCCCAGTTCACAGGTTAGAAGGATCGACCTTTCAGCTTCGACTGAGTCCCCGGTAAACCCAGACAGGGGAGTCTTTAAGGGCTCAAGCCGTGTCCGACACAACTTAAGCTTCTCAAATGCATCCAAGTACAATACGTTAACACTACTGCCCGTGTCAACGAGTACCCGGGAGACATCAACTCCACCCATGTCCATAGTTATCACCAGGGGGTCATTATGATCTTCTCCTGTGGCGGGAAGGTCCCGGTCAGTAAAAGTGATTGGTTCCCGTCTCGCTTGTTTCGACCGGGGATTTAGGGCCACCGCACCAACGTAGAGTTCTCGTCCCCACTTCTTCCTTTGGGAAGCAGAGTCTCCCCCTTCTGGTCCGCCGTAGATGACTTGCAAGTGCTCCTTACCGGCTGTTTTCTTCTTTTTGTTTTGCTCGGCCGGTTGTCCTTTAGGTTTGACCCACTAGGTCTTCTTTTGCTTGGCCTGAGCCAAATATTCCGGATCAATCTCACCGGCCTCAATCATGTGTTTTATTACTCCTTTCACACTGTTCACTCTGCAGTGTTATGGGAATCAGTTTTGTGAAAGGAGCAATACTTCTCCGTCCATTGTTTTTTGTCGGTCGGTTTCTTTTCAGATTTGACCGGCTTTACCTCCATTACTTCTGCTCTTATCTTACCGGGCAGTGCAATTTCCTTTTTCAAGGAAATTTTCTCCTTTGAATGGCCCTGCTCGGCCTCCCTCTTAGATGACACCTGTGCTTCAGCGTCAGCATAATCACAGGCTGTGTTGTAGGCCTCTTGGTAGGACTGGGGAGGCCTCCTACAGAATTCCTTATACAACTCTCCGGATCGGAGTCCGGACACAAGGAGGGACATGGCTGTTTTGTCGTCCATCTCTTCCACCTTGTCAACCTCATCCTTCCACCGGGTGAGGAATTTTGTCAGATCTTCGTGCTCTCGCTGCCCGGCTGTACTTAAGTAGGTAAACTTTTTCCTCTTGGTACAGTTTTCTTTAAACTTTTCTTGAAACACCTCAGCCAGTTCATCGAAAGAATCGATTTCACCAGCCGGTAAGTTATGAAACCACTCAGCGGCGCGGCCGCGAAGGGTTTGAAAGAAAAGCAAACATTTCTCATCCCCGGAAAGACCCATCATCCGCCCACTCTGATGGAGGGTTTTGACGTGAATTTCCGGGTCCTCCTTCCCGGTGAACTTCGGGACCTCAAGTTTTGCCTTCTTTGGAAATGGGGTTTCATGAACCCGGTCTGTGAACGGAGATTCGTTCAGCAGGATTTTCTTCTTTTCTTCCCGGTCTACCCGGCGTTGTAGTTTCTCCAGACGTGCCTCGACCCGGCCCACACGATCCCGAGGTTGTTCAACATGAGAACGGGTCGTGTGCCTGGGGTGGCTTTCGGCTTCTTCCTCTCGCGGCGCCCGGCTGTGCTGGGGCTCATCGCGTGGGGGTGGTTCCGTTCGCCTGGTCTGACCAGGTCGTCCGGCTCCTCTCCCTGCACGATTAAAGGTACTAGCTGGGATGGTTTCTACCCCAAGCCGCTCTTTTGCTGACCGGTTCTGATTTCGGCCATCATGGCCAAGTCTTTGAAAGGCCGACCTCCTGGATCCTTCAGGTTGGACAGCTTTTCCCTTCAACTTCTTGAGTGCTTGGGGAACGTCCCAGTCCTCATCCTTGCTATGGACTGA